AGCTGTACGGTTGTCAGGGAATATACGCTCAAATTCCTTATAAATTTCGGATATACCTTTATCAGTGCGGTGTAAATTTTCTAGAAAGTTTGGCGTACCAGGCTTATGCACATGACCAGCCGTGTCCAGACCCAGGAGATGTAAGAAGAAAATTACTTTTTCTTGCCTCCTTGGGCTTCTTTATATTTCGTGCCCATAAAATTTTTTCATCAGCTGGATGGTGTGCAGACTTTTCGGCTTATTTGCTGGAAAGTAACACCAGCAGAAATTATGCCAAGCAACCTCCTGTAATTAAGAAAGAATTACATTGAAACATATATAATACTATTATTTTACGCATACTCACCTAACCTCCAGATTACACAACCGCCGCGTGTCAGAAAGTCTTATAATTGAAACGAGATATGAATTCGCCGTGTATGTATACGGATTTTCATTGAATTCATTCTGACATTTTTTGCAATGAAAAAATGTACATATGTACATATGTATACGCTTTCCATTGCATAAATTCGCCTTGAATGGCTTCTGACATTTGTACCTATGTACATACATACACACATTCCACAAAGTGAACGTAGTAAGGTAGCTCGAATTAGTGAACCGTTTCGACATTCAGTTCACTCGCTAGTTGCAATAAAATAAATACTTTTATAACTGCTTAAAGATGCATTGTCATAAGCAAATATCAATGCATTAATTTTTTATAAGTCTATCAGACATTTTGATGTAAATTTCATAAGCAAACATGATATTTATGTATTTTATAACCAAACGGTTCTGCAATTATACTTACGAAATCTGCTGCATATGAGCTACCCTGTTTTAGCCGAGTATCGCCTACAGCGGCATCCAAATTTTTTTTTTGGGTGGCAGGCCAGTTGTAGGGTTGCGAGAATGGCTAAAAACTCTCCAAATGTCGATTAATACGTTTTTCGACAGCTTCATTCAATGAGGTTTTGAATGGATAATGACGAAATTAGCAGTTCAAGTTATTCATAAAGAACTTCATTGTATGGAGAACACCACTTTGGCACTATAAGGTCTAACTATTTAGAAGAAAAATTCATTCAAAACTAAATCGTGTGGTATAAATAATTTGTATCTTGTCATGCATCCCTGTATGTTGGAATGCATGTGGGCGATCCAGTTGTCATTTTCATGGATCGCAACTCAACCATTCGACCCTATTCACATGCGGAAGTTTATGAAATACAATTAGTAACCACATAATGCCACATTCACACTTACAGAATCTTGTTTGTATCTCATAAACAAAAATTTGTCATGCCAAATGCATAGAGAATTTCCGCCTAAATTACTCGCCACCCAACAATATTTAAATAAATGGTTTCCGGTTCGAACGGATTGTAAAAATATTCCCATTTATTGCAGCAACTATGACTCGCTTCACCCAATTGCGCAAAAAAGCGGCACAACACGCACATCGCTATCCTCAATCGTGTCGCTTATGCAACGGCAAACACCCGATAAGACTGTGTCCGGTCTACAGGGCAAAAAATCCTGAGGAGCGACTTCGCGAAGCAATACTTGGCAAGTATTGTATCAACTGCCTCGCAATGACCCATCGAGCGGAAAACTGTACTAGTGCGGAGAGATGCCGCCGGTGTCACGACAAGCATCACACCACCATTCATCTGGACCCCATCGATAGGAGACCCTGGAGTCAACAGGTGGACGAAGAAGAAGACGAATTGGACGTGATCTCTATCTATGCATCCGAATCCGGAACGGAAACTCGGTCTTTCCGTCCGGAACTGGAAACTGGAGACGGTATTGAATCCGGAGCGGAGACTAGGACTCTCTGCCCGAACAATGACAGGGGAGCGGAAACTCGGACTTTCCAACCTCCACTTCATCACACGACTCAAAGAGTGGCTGCATTGGAAACTAGGTCTTTCCGATCACGCCAACATACGCGACGAACCCGCGGAGCGGAAACCGGGTCTTTCCGCCCGCACCAGCTAACCCCGGGCCCAACTGACCGTCGTGATCAGGGAGGAATAGTGGCACGATCTCGCCAACGCAGAGCACCGAACAACTTCCGAATGGGTCTTGTCAGTGCCGTGAGACAAACCGAGGTGCTACGACCTATGGTGTCGATTTCACCCACGGCAATCATCAAAGTCGAGGCAGGAGGAAGACTGCACCTTGTTCGGGCACTGATAGATGCTTGTACA